GGGGGTGAGTGGGCGGGGCCTCGGGGGTCGGGGAAGGGGCCTCGAGAGGGTGGGCGGGGCCTACGGGGCGTGGGCGGGGCCGGGCGGGGCCGTAAGGTGAGTGGGCGGGGCCTACGGGACTGGGGCGGGGCCTGAGACGGGACTCAGAATCCCATGACATCATCCTTGGGCTCAGGCCCGTGGGCGGGGCCTGAATGACGTCATGGGAAAATCTGGATGGGAGAAGCAGTGGATGGGCGGGGCCAGGGTGGTGGGCGGGGTCCGGGGTGGGAGGGGCGAGGCCTGGTACGGGCTGAGAATCGGATGACATCATCCTTGTTCTCCAGCTCCTGGGCGGGGCCTGAATGATGTAATGGGAAAAGTAGGATGGGCGGGGTCAGGGTGGTGGGCGGGGCCCGGGGCCGGTGGTGGGCGGAGCCCGGAATCCCATGACGTCATCCTCGGGCCCTGCTTTGTGGCCGGGGCCGAGATTGACGACCTGGGAACCGGGTGGGCGGGGTTTGGGCGGTGGGCGGGGCCCGCAGACCCGATGACGTCACCCCGGGCTCTGCCTGGGACCCGTGGGCGGGGCCGGGGGTGGGCGGGGCCAGGATGACGTCATTCACAGCCGAGTCCGGTTGGGCGGGGCCAGGACTGTGGTTCCCCAAGCGCTGGCGTTCACCGCCTGCGACCTCGGCGTCTTCGAGGCCCTGGCCCCGGGGCCCCTGGAGGCGGCGGCGGTGGCGCGGGTGCTGGGACTCAGTCCTCACGGGACGCGGCTGCTGCTGGACGCCTGCGCGGGCCTGGGGCTGCTGCGCCGGGCGGGGGGTGAGTGGGGGACTGAGCGCCAGTACCCGGGGCGGGGGGCGCGGGGTCGGAGGGGGTCACGAGGCGGGGGACTGAGCGACAGCACTTGGGGTGACGACTTAGGGGGACTCAGCATCAGCACTCGGGAGGACTGAGGACCCAGCACCTGGGGTGACACTCAGGGGGACTCAGCGCCAGCACTGGGGCGACGACTTGGGGGGACTGAGCATCAGCATCTGGGGATGATGACTGAGGGGGACTCAGCACCCAGCACCCGGGGTGACGATTCGGAGGGACTGAGCGCCAGCACCCAGCAGCACCCAGGGACTCAGCACCGACGCTGACGGTGGACTGAATGATTGACAGCCAGGCTGGGGGCGGGGTCCGGGTATCCGGGTGGGCGTGGCCGCCCCGCCCCCGCCCCGCCCCCGCCCCGCCCCCCCCGCACTGACGCTGACTGTGGACTGAATGACTGACAGCCGGGCTGGGGGCGGGGTCTGGATGACTGACAGCCGGGCCGGGGGGCGGGG